AGATGAGGAAATAGCAGGCCCAGCCGGCATATGTAGGTATGATATGTGACTTATGAAGTTGACATGAACTAGCAGATGCAGATGCAGGATCTGACGCCCCCTTTTGGCCGAGTGTAAGAGGCATTGACCATCTCATGGCTCACTTAAGGATTGACCGTGTCGTAGGAGGAGTGCTACCTTGTCGAGACGCTGGGTATAGTGGACCGGGGAGACTTGGCAACCCTGATGCATGACTTGGGATATGTTGATGAGCATCATATTGTTCAACTCGTACAGTCATCCAGTATCTTCTTGAGGTCTTGTTGATCTCTACGGCACAGTCATATACGAGTCAGTTTGACTCCGCCAAGCCGCTCAAGCCGTCAAGGTCTTCCATTGAAGAAGAACTTGCGAGCCCTTCTTTTCTTTTCTTTTCTTCTGCTACAGAAAATAACATGGTTGATGCATATGCAGGTCCACAGTCTCATAGAACCCCGGCCGGTGTTGTTGGTTGGTCAAAAACATTCCCAAGACAAGGCAGACCTGGTCATAACTCGAGGCCCTTGACCAAGATGATCATAGTGTGTCTGTGGGGATAAATTAGAACGGTCAACGGTGAGTTTCTAGTGTCTACAAGGCTAATCACTCGACCTCTCTATTGGTAAAAGCCAGTACTAATGTCGTTGGCTATATACCAGACTACTTCCAGGCACTGTTAGAGGCAAAACTTTACAACGTTGCCCCCAAGCCCCTAGCTGCCCCTAGCTCTACCCCGCTAGAACAGACACTCAACAGCAATTTCAGCATCTCTAGCGGCCAATCCTCTCCACTGATGTCCTTTAGCCGCGGTGATCTGCAGCGGGAGTGGAACTAGTTCCGCCCCGCCCAAGCTAAACGTCGTCAGGGCTTCTAGATCCTTGGCCGAGGATGAGACATCATCTTGGGCAATGTGATACTTCCTGTTGCCTGTTCTCTTGTAGCTACATGGTTGTACCCTGCTGGACTTACATATGTACACTCACCCAGCTCCAAGCTCCAAGCTCCAAGCTCCATCCGCGGAACGCGTTGAAATAAGGGGACAAGGAGACTTGGACCCGGCGTTTCTCGTTTCTCCTTCTCTGATGCAAATGCAAAGTCCTTGCACTGTAACGTCGGATCCGTAGGGCAATCTTTGAACAGCGCGGAGACATCCCCGATTGGATGCTCCAGAAGAGTTAAGGACTCCAGCTTGCGTCGACATATCAGACAGCGGGGTAAATGCCTCTCAGAGAAACTCCCTCTCTATATGTCTTTGAGTATGAATCCACAATTTGGTGCACAAGGTGCGGCCATATTCATGCTGTTGGTTCAACTGAGACTATTCAGGGTCCTTGTCAGAAACCAGGATCCGAGAGCACAACACACCAGGCAAGCAACATCTGAACCTCTCAACTGCCTTTATTAGGAATGGTATGATGGACCTAATGCTTAGCTGCTACATAACCGGAATCCTCCTGTTGTTTGAGTGACAAGGTTTCCGAATTTCCGGTCCTGACTGGCTCGATAGACAGCCTTCATGATAGTGGACCTCGGGTAATGCTATGTATATAAAGTAACAGAGGCACTACGGGCATAAAGTTGGCTTCTCCGTTGATACTTTTCTCTTATATACTTGACAGATTGTTTCTTCTGTAAACAAATACCCAAACATGGCTGCTGCTGCTGCTCCAGACTCTACTTACGACTTCATCATCTGCGGGTAAAGTTCCGCACTCATAAGGTTCAAGCCTAAGACTATTATTGATTAACTAACCTCATTTATAGTGGTGGCACGTCAGGCTGCGTTGTGGCAGCACGCCTCGCTGAGGATCCTAATGTCAAGGTTCTCGTTCTAGAGGCTGGTCCCCATAATGAGCATCTTGAGAATGTTCACATGGTTGGAGGGTAAGTACCCCTGCTCCTGTAGCTGTTTATAAAAGCATTGACTAACGTATTGTTTTAGCTGGTCCAACAACTTCGACAAGGAGACAGACTGGAATGTCGTCTCTATACCTGGTCCTGGTGTCAACAACCGCTCTGTGAAGCTTAGCCGAGGCAAGTTCCTTGGTGGCTCTTCAGGTTGTAATGGCACTCTTATGGTTAAGGGAATGGTGAGCTCTACTGATGATTGCCAATTGGTACTAGATTCTGACCCCCCTAGAAACAAGATTATGATGACTGGAACCTGCCTGGTTGGAGTGGTGATGAAATGTTCAAGTATATGCTCAAGGTATGTACCTAACCTATATCCTCAACACAAAGGGAGCCATCCTAACTCTCCCACTATTGCAACTCTTCAGAGACAATTACTGACTTCTAACAGGCCGAGAACTTTCACACAAAAGATTGGTTCAAGGAGACCAAGGGGGCCCATGGCTATGACGGCCATGTACACACCGAACCTCATGACTTGGCTCCTATCTCCAACTTGATCGGAGAATCCATGGTATCGAAGGGCCTCCCTCTTGACCACGATATGTTTAGCTCTGGTGTGAACCCTCACGGGTGCGGCCACTCTGTCAGGACAGTTCATCAAGGCCTTCGTACCACTAGCGCAGATTTCATCACCAAGCAGAAACCCAGAGATAACCTACACCTCATGGTCGAGACCCATGTCGACAAGGTTACCATTGAGAAGGACGGCCAGGGAGAGTTGAAGGCCACTGGTGTTCGAGCAGTCAAGGCCGATGGATCGGTCGTTGAGCTCAAGGCCTCTAAAGAGGTCATAATTTCTTCTGGTGCTTACTGCTCACCCAACGTCCTCAACCGATCAGGCATCGGCGCAAAGGTTGAGCTGGAGCAGCATGGCATCACTACTCTTGTCGATCTTCCCGGCGTTGGAAAGAACCTCCAGGATCACTTGATCGTCTTCATGTTCTACGAGACTGACAAAGAGGGCCTCACCACTGACTCTCTAGTATACCACGGTAACGCGTTAGAAAAGGCCTATACCCAATGGAAGGAGGAGAAGAAGGGTCCTCTAACAGTGTTCCCATTCGGAATCTTTGCCTACGCTCGCATGGATGAGCGCCTTGCCGACTCTAAGATCTGGAATGCAGCCCCTCGCAAGGAAGGCCGCGATCCTATGGGTCTTACTCCCAAGCAACCTCAGATTGAGTTCTTTACCACTGAGTGCTATGGAGGCCCTAAGCAGTACGACCAATTCCCCATCGACAACAAACACGCTTTCAGTATGATCGCTGAGCTTTTCGCTCCCAAGTCCCGTGGCACTGTCACTCTTCGCGACGCCTCGCCAACATCTGTCCCTGTTGTCGACTGCAACTACCTCTCCGACCCTCTAGACCTCGAGGTCCTCGCTGAAGCGTGCGCTTTTGGCAACGAGATCATCACCGAAGGTTCGGGCACCAAGGACATCGTCAAGGGTTCATGGCCCTCAGATCTTGTGCACCACAAGTACAAGACGCGCGAGGACTGGAAGGAATACGTCAAGGAGAATGCTACGACTTGTTACCATGCCAGCGGATCGTGTGCCGCTGGCAAGAGGGATAACCCTATGGCTGTTGTGGATGAGAAGCTACAGGTCTATGGTGTTAAGGGGTTGAGAGTCGCAGATTGTTCGATTATGCCTACCGTAAACAACGGCCATACGCAGATGCCTGCCTATGGAATTGGCGAGAAGGCTGCTGATCTTATAAAGGAGAGATGGGCTCTGTCTGCGAAGTTGTAATAGTGGTGACGTGTCGGTCGAAGGATCCAGCGTATGTTTCATTGCCCAAAGCGAATTACAATCAATTTAAAGAAGAAAAAGTAACCAATGCTAGGGAATATTATTATCAATTCATATGAAGCTGGTATATATTTTCTCTCATCCCTGATACTGCAATGACTAGAAGGGCAAATGTATCAATTCTTGATGTTATTTACAAACTGTGCAAGCAGCATACCCTATACTTGTGTCTCTCATTGAGTCTATATCCGGCGGAGCCATTAGCAGGGGTCACAATCCTTCGCCAAGATCTACGTGTTCCGCAGAGTAACATTGAGATCTTCCCCTGTACCTGGTTTTAAATCGTACGTAACCAAATTGCCTCCCCTCTCTTCCGAAAAGGCACTCACTGAAAACTCAGTGGGACATGGCTGGGGAGGGAAGAAAACTCGAGACCTTGATCATGAATGATAAGAAGATTTAGGTAAATTAGCATAGTTTAGGATCCCTTTTCCTGAGTTTATTTTGATACCCATCAAAGTCCGACTCTTTCTTGCTCCTAAGGCATGGGCTCCAGTAAGAGAAGAACTCAGGGCAGAAAGCGGACTCTCTTCTGACTAGTACCGAACCGCACGGATGCTGATCCCCAAGAGACGGCGTCTTCTAAAGCGGAAGGTGATTTTGCTGTGAGTTACCAGGCTTGGTTTGGTCAGGGGTGAATAATCAATCTGCCGCTTTCTTTGGGGCTCAATTTTGAGGTTGTAGTGATGCAACTCGGCGTTGCAGGCAATCGTTTGAGAGAGACACTGAATCAACTCAGCCAAGCTGTCAGATCTTCAGACTCTTCATCGCTGGCTCAAAATTGAGTCAGGTCGAAAGAAAGGCGCTGATCTTGAGCTTCTCGGAGTACATGTTCCGCAGGAAAAGTTGTCAACTCAGGTCGTGAACTTTGTTTACAACATCCCTTCAAGACTACACATGAGAGCTTTCACTAATTCTTATCGATGTGCGGCAGTTGACAGTTTAGTACTCTGTAGTGGCATGCAATACCCAAGCCAGTTATCACTAGGTCATGGATAGTCATACCACGGGCGGGAACTAATTCTACGTTATCTATCAACACGACTTGACAGACGCATTTGACGTACAACGGTTTCCATGTGTTTAGTAATCATCAATATCATCGTCTGGTGAAGTTCAGCCGGGCAGAGTTCTAAGACAAAATAAATCATTACTAAAGTGGTATCTAAAACGAAAGTTCCTATCCATACGGTTATTATTAATGTAATCCCCAAGACCATATCAACTCCCACGCCTTTCCCACCATCGATCGATATCATAGTGATCGTTCATACTCCACCGTCACCGTCTTCGTCTGCACAATGGCTGGCTTGACCGTCCCCCCAACGATCCCCTTCTCAGAATCGCTATCGATCCAGCCGGTAACCTCTTCGCTCTGACCAACGCTGGTATTGTGTCCCACGCGTCCGTTGATGGGGCCTAGAGCAAAGTTATCAGGCATAGGGTTCTCATCGCCATCGAACTGTGAATATTGTGTTCGGTCACGGCGTCCCTGGGAAGAGGGGGCAAATGGTCGACTCGGAGGCTTGGATCCTGTATCTGGCTTGCCATATTTTGACGATTTCCCTGTTTTGCTGCCATATCGTGACTCGCCGATGAGTTTGGGGGCAACATGTTTGAAGAACTTGCGGAGCGTCGGCATCGTCGCACAGGTAATGATCAGGTTCGCTTCGACAATACTGGAGGCATGTTAGCTATAACGCTCTGCTAGGCTGTCAGAGAGAGAGAGGAGAGTTCCATACATCCAAATCGAAGGAAAAGCGATAACCCAAGTCAAGTCCATGGATTTAAGCATTCCTGGGAGAAGACTGACCCTGACAATAGATGTGATAACTGTCAAAGATCCGATAGTAAAGATGCCCATCAAGCCAACCTTCTGCTTGAAGGGCATCTGGAGTTGCAGGACCATTGGCAACGGTAGTATAAATAGGATAACGTCGCTGATAATGTTGGTTATCGCGGTCGCGATATACAGACCAGGTCTGTTAATGCATTTGCCTTCTGTGATTGTAACATCCCAGTTCATGGCAATAGGATGGCAGGCAAACATCACGGCGAAGAAGATGCCGAGGGTGTATCCGCTGATGAATACAGCGGTTGACCAAACTGAGATTTTAAACCATCGCTGAGGGGAGAGTCGGAAGTAGAACATGAGGAGAGCGAGTTTGGCTAGGGAACCGCAGAGGACATATATGAATGCGGCGAGATAGACATCCTGCTGTTGTTAATATCCGGTGACAGCTGTTGTGTGACTGTGAGAGACTTACCATTAGGTAAATATTGAAGGTCTCAATAGAGGCTTCCCAGGCATGTACACCTCCAGCGCCAGAAGCAAACATGTGAAGGCAAAGACTGATGGTCACCAAGGCCAATATCTATGCAGTCAGCTTTTGTTGATGTAGACGCCTTGTTCCTGGAACGTATAAAGCCATCATTTCCAACGAGACATGATAACCAGTGGCTACGATTTTACTTACATATGAAAATATGAGTAAGACTATTTAGTATCAGCAAAATTCATAACTTCGATCTGTCATGTCCATGCAGATCCGCCACGATTGAGTTTGCAGGGTCGAACAAACAACCAACAACAAACAGCTAGAAAACGACATGTCAAAACTTACCATCGTCAAACTGCAAGCCACCTGCAAGAAATAGCTTGACATACATCCTCTGGCAGAAGAAAAGAAAGCTCACAGCCATTCCGAACCCCGCCACAAAGTATGCTTCTGTCACTCCCTGTCTCTGTGGGTTGTCGAAGTTAACCACATAGCCCTCAGGCGGTGGTAGAAGCACCATTACTCCATCTATCAGAGGCATTTCGACATGGAGGTTTGTTAAAAGAACTGAAGGCTCAGTCTGGGGAATGCCTTGGGTAGAAAAAGGATGGCTGACGGAACTCGGAATGATCTGAAGCAAGAGATGGAGACTAGCCGATTGTGCCACTTGAGGATCAACGCGCAGCTGTCACTTGCTTCCCCTCAAATGATGCTACAACTTCAGACGGTAGGGGTAACTATATATCACTGTGGTTCTCGCCTCCTAAGTAGAGTCTCAGAGGTCTACGTGATAGGCTCAACAGGTTCTACTAAACGATGCTGCTTTGACGATTCATTACAGGGGACATGCAGGTCATACAGTAGAGAATGTTCAGTTGAGTATTCACAGAAAGAACTTAACAGAACCAATCACTTCACTCACTGTGACCGTGGCCGGGTGTTTTGGCCTAGAAGATGAGAGTTACCGAGGAACTCGCCTGAAGCCAAGAGATCCGTGAGCCAGGCACCGCAACCCAGACATGGTATAGGGCATGCCGATCCGGCCGACAAGCGCAGGTGGTATGATTTCCGGACGGTCAGTGTGTTCGATATCATCGCGATACCCCAGGGCCCTTTGTTAGACAGGCCCTGAAGTGGTAAAGAGGGCCGGCTGTAGGATTTTTGCATTTCGCCAAGAGGTCGGGTAGAGTCAATGTAACTCCTGGGCCGGATCTTGAGTACGGAAATGGAATGTGTTTATAGTAGTGTTTTGTTAAGGCGGCAATGCCGTTTATGCGTTTGAGGGCTTGCTGTGGCGATGCTTCGGGTTGTTGCAGAGGTGTTTTGGTACCCTGTTGAAAGAAATGGGCATCAAGGTGCCTCTGGTCGTGATCTTTTTGATTGTGATCAGATCGGATCATCTCATGCATGGCTGGTCATGCAGACACTAGAAGACAAGGATAATTCATGGTCAGCCATCGTGAGTCTGGAAGTTGAAAAGTTTGACAATACCGAGGAGTCAACGGTGAAGATTGTCAGTTACTAAGCCTCCATTCTTATAACATATAGCTGTATATACACCGAGCGAGATTGAATCGTATGTTCTTCAGTAAAAGGCCGATTTGAAGGGTCATGAGGATCAGGTCTAGGTCAATGGGAACTCAGCATCAACAGCGGAACCAAGGATGGCCCACCCCGACCATCAATACCAGGGCCTGTTGCCTGCAAGGAACAGAGAACTGTTACATGAATGTAACTCGTTACACTTTGCATCATAACCAATCCTTCTCACCGATCTTTGATTTCAGTTCGTAGCAATCTCACATGGCAGCCTCGTCTATCTCCAACAGAGCCAATGAGACATGTTCCGTCACTGCGAACAGACCTGCGGAATTAGAGTGCCCCTGCGGCCTGTCATATGCGGACATAGTACGGAAAGTCACCAAATACACGTGGAGTTTTTCATGACGATCAGCATCTGATAGAGACAGGTGAACAAACACTAAGTGGGCTGGCCGACTACCGAAAGTTGATTAAAATGGGGTTCTTCGGTTGCGCGGATCACACCTGAACGGAGAATAAACTGTAGCGCATAAACTATAGAGAGAGAAGAAATCTCGAATGGTTATAGAGGTTTCAATAATGGTTCGAGGCGAGGACCTATCCTTATGCAACGGTACTTGCGAATAAGGTTAAGAATAGACAACCCTGTTTTGAACCCTGCTTCTTCACCAATTCCAATCCCTGATACCGATTACTGTGGGGAAATAGGAGGATTCATGAGCCGTAAATCTCCTCAATCATATTCCCCGTTCAAACAAGGGCCTCCCATGCTAGTCTCGTCGAAAAGACCGGGGTTTACAGCCAACCGCTTAGAGGTCGGGTTTGGAACGAGGTAGGCGAGGCTTTCAAGACATAGATATTGATGTTCAAGAGCTCTGATGCAATGCAGAGACTTGACAAGGTATGATCCAAGACAATGGTTCTCTCTGTCAAGGGTATTTCACGTGTATCCGAGTGCAATTGTGACAAGCTGCAGCTCAACCTTGAGCCTCACAGACCTTCCTCCAGTGCTACGTAGTAACAGTACGTAGTATTGCTATAGTACTCCGTATGTGCTTCCTCATTCTGACCCTGTCTCCGGGTTGACGTGCTCATCTCTGGCATATCGGTGGAACCTATCCCAGCAATAGCTGTGCTGACTCTGCTATCCTTCCGCTCCCAAGCTGCCACTAAACCACAACGAACACACAAGACAGCATTAGGAATAATGCCTACTCCAGGCCACTCTCCGGCCCCTCTCTCGCCCGAACATCGCCCCGTCTCCTGTTACCGAAGATAGGAGATCAACTAGTTCAGCTGAGGGGCAAATACTTCGTTTAATAACAAGACGATCTTCCTCGTCCGTGAACTGTAGATCGTTGCCTTTCTTCTTGTTTTGATAGAGCATATCATCTTGGTTCTATCATCGAGGGTATCCTTTCTCGTCTTGTCGTTCTTTGTCTGAGATATACGTTACAGTTACAACCATGAAGCTTGGTGTGTTGGCTACTGGTGCCGCCTATGGCACCACAATGCTCCCTTCTAGCCCTCAGCAGTGTGTAAGTCATGTCTCGAGTCAAGCCCTCGTCGATCGACAATTCCTGATACACATTTAACCTGCATCTCTTTCTCTTATCCCGCCGCAATGAGCAACTGTTCTTATCTCTCCTATTACCTGCATAATGGCTAACGTCGCATCAAAGTGCTCTGCTCTGATGAAGGAGGCTGGTCTCTCCGATCTTGTCGTCACAAAGAACCAGTCACTTTACGATGAACGAATCGACTCCTACTGGTCGGTCAGTGCTGCCTTGCATCCTGACTGCATGGTATTGCCCAAGACGGTACGTAATCCGATTTGATGCGTCATTCCGACCTGTAGTCCTGACATGTCCCATAGCCCGAGGATGTCTCAAAGGTCATGAAGGTCATCACCAAGAACCAATGCAAGTTCGGTATTCGCGGTGGCGGCCATGGCAACTTCAAATTGTCCAACTCTGTCGAGGAGGGTATTACAATCGATTTTGGTCAGTTATAGGCGATGAACCTCGTCTTATCATCGTTACTCATGCTAAGAGCTGCAGGCTTTATGAATGAAACATCGTACGACGAAGAGAAGAACGTCGTAAGTGTGGGACCTGGTGGTCATTGGCAAGATGTCTACGACACTCTTATCCCATATGGCCTTGCCGTTGCTGGGTATGTCTATATATCCTTAGTCTTCTCCCATCACTTACACTCTATAGTGGTCGTGCTGGAACTGTTGGTGTTGGTGGTTTCGTGACAGGTGGAGGCAACTCCTTCTACTCTGCGTCTCATGTAAGTGACAGAAACACTACAAAATCACTCGACAATAACTCACATATACAGGGAATGGCTTGTGATACAGTGGCGGGTTGGCAGCTCGTCCTCGCTAACGGTGACATCGTTGAAGCTAACGCCGAATCCAATGCTGATCTCTGGCAGGTGAGTATCTACATATCAGATCATTCAAATCAGCCATTCTAACCTCAACTAGGCCATGAAGGGTGGCTCTGGAAACCTGGGTCTGATCACAAGAATCGACATGTATCCCATTGAGTTTGTTGACCGCAGCAACCCTTCAATCTGGGGTGGTAACCTTCTCTACAAACCTGAGTCAGGCCCTGCAGTCATCGATGCCCTCATTGATTTCACCGCCAATGTACCCAAGGACGAAAACTCCAGCAGTATCATTTACTGGGCTTATCTTCCTGCCTTGGCTGGTGGCACTATTCTCAACGCAGCTATAGAGAACACAAAGGGCGAGGTCAAGCCCCCTGCTTTCGACAGCTTCTATTCCATCTCTGATATTCAGGGTGACACCACTGTCACTGAAAAGCTTAGCAAGGTCACTAAGGATCTCGGCTCAGGCCAACCTCCCCACTTCCGCAATGTCTGGTTCACAAGCTCCTTCAAGCCCAATGCTGAACTCCTGAACTATGTCGTTGAGAAGTATGACGAACTCAACCAGGCCCTTGAGGCTCTCATGCCCAGTGCCGAGTCAGAGCTCAACACACTCTGCATGTTCCAGCCCATCACCAAGTCCATTGCCGAGAAGGGTGTTAAGAATGGCGGCAATGTCATGGGTCTAGACAAGTATACAGAGGACGGAGATGGTATCATGTTCCTCCTCACCTGGGCTGCCAAGGGTGAGGCAAGCGAGGAGGCTGCTTTCCCTCTCCTCAAGGCTTACATGGACGACATCGAGACGAAGGCAAAGGAGATGGACGCTTGGTGGGCCTGGAAGTTTATCAACTACGCTCATCTTACACAAGATCCCTTAGCGACTATTGGAGATGAGGCTCTTGCTAAGCTTCGTGCTGCCAGCAAGAAGTACGATCCTCAGGGTGTCTTCCAGAAGCTCCGATCTTCTGGTGTCAAGATTCCTTTTTAATAAGATTACTATATAGATAAACATTAGAGGCATTATAGACTGTATGTATTTGAATCACATAGATCTCTAGCCAAGTGCTTTGAGAGGTTCATAAACTTCGCAGATATTAATTTCATTTCGGCGGGATGTTCGTACCTATTCTGGTTTACGCGCTTATCAAGGGAGGATGCAAGATTAGGACCTCGACTGTATGTAACAGAAAGACTTAGGTAAGTTTAGGATAGACTTAGATTAGTTTATTATATGTTAGAAGGCCTTTAGACCAGTTTACTTTTGCACATTGGCACATTGGCTCAGTGTTAGAGGCTTTCTTAACACCTGAGAATTATCTTGTTATTGTTTTATATGGTATCGAGGTCAACTGAAATGAGATGGGGTTTCCACGTTTCTCTACCACAAGAGTCTATCATCAGCGATTCTCATGCGGCGTAATGCTCAACAGAGTTGAGCCATACATAGATCGAATAGTCCTTCTCAGTTCCCAACAATCTCCTTGCCACCAAACCATGTTCGAATAGTAGGCCAATAGGTGTAGTGTAAGTATACATCGACAGAGGCAACAACTGCGAGGCCTGCCAAGGCATATCGACGATTCTGAGGAGAGGCAT